ATGGGCAAAAACTGGAAGCATTCCCTTTGAAATCTGGCATTAGACAAGGATGCCCTCTCTTAGCACTCCTATTCAATATAGTATTGGAAGTTCTAGCCAGAGCAATCAAGCAAGGAAAAGAAATAAAAAGTATTCTATTAGGGAAAGAGGAAGTCAAATTGTCTCTATTTGCAGACAACATGATTGTATATTTAGAAGACCCCATCATCTCAGCCCATAATCTCCTTAAACTGATAAACAACTTCAGCAAAGTCTCAGGATACAAAATTAATGTGCAGAAATCACAAGCATTCCTCTACACCAATAACAGACTAAGAGAGAACCAAATCAAGAGCGAACTCCCATTCACAATTTCTACAAAGAAAATAAAATACCTAGGAATACAACTAACAAGGGATGTAAAGGAACTCTTCAAGGAGAACTATGAACCACTGCTCAAGGAAATAAGAGAGGACACAAACAGATAGAAAAACATTCCATGGTCATGGTTAGGAAGAATCAATATTGTGAAAATGGTCATAGTGCCAAAGTAATTTAAAGATTCAATGCTGTCCCCATCGAGCTACCAATGACCCTCTTCACAGAACTCAAAAAAAATACCTTAAACTTATAAAACCAAAAGAGAGCCTGCACAGCCAAGTCAATCCTAAGCAAAAAGGTCAAAGCTGTGGAGGTGTCATGCTATCTGACTTCAAACTATACTACAAAGCTGCAGTAATCAAAACAGCATAGTACTGGTACCAAAACAGAGACATACACCAGTGAAACAGAACAGAGGCCTTGGAGGCAACACCATACATCTACAACCATCTGATCTTTGACAAACCTGACAAAAACAAGCAATGGGGAAAGGATTCCCTGTTTAATAAATGGTGTTGGGATAACTGGCTAGCCATGTGCAGAAAACAGAAACTGGATCCCTTCCTGACACCTTACACTAAAATTAACTCCAGATGGATTAAAGACTTAAACATAAGACTTAACACCATAAAAATCCTAGAAGAAAACCTAGACAAAACCATTCAGGACATAGGCATAGGCAAACACTTCATGACTAAAACACCAAAAGCATTGGCAACAAAAGCCAAAATAGACAAATGGGATCTAATTAAACTCCAGAGCTTCTGCACAGCAAAAGAAACAATCATTAGAGTGAACCGACAACCAAGAGAATGGGAAAAAAATGTTGCAACCTACCCCTTTGTCAAAAGGGCTATCCAGAATCTACTAAAAGAACTAAAGCAGATTTACAAGAAGAAAACAAACCCATTCAAAAGTGGACGAGGGATATGAACAGACACTTTTCAAAAGAAGACATATATGAGGCCAACAAACATATGAAAATATGCTCATCATCACTGGTCATTAGAGAAATGCAAATCAAAACCACATTGAGATACCGTCTCATGCCAGTTAGAATGGCAATCATTAAAAAATCTGGAGACGACAGATGCTGGAGAGGATGTGGAGAAAAAGGAACACTTTTACACTGTTGGTGGGTGTGTAAATTAGTTCAACCATTGTGGAAGACAGTGTGGCGATTCCTTAAGGACCTAGAAACAGAAATTCCATTTGACCCAGCAATCCCATTAGTGAGTATATATCCAAAGGATTATAAATCATTCTATTATAAAGACACACACACACATATGTTCATTGTGGCACTGTTTACAATATCATCTTGAACCAACTCAAATGCCCATCAATGATAGACTGGACATGGAAAATGTGGCACATATACACCATGGAATACCATGCAGCCATAAAAAACGATGAGTTCATGTCCTTTGTAGGGATATGGATGAATCTGGAAACCATCTTTCTCAGCAAACTGACACAAGAACAGAAAATCAAACATGGCATGTTCTCACTCATAGGCAGGAACTGAACAATGAGAATACATGGACATAGGGAAGGAAGCATCACACACTGGGGTCTGTTGGGGGGCACTAGGGGAGGGACAGCTGGGGTTAGGGAGGTTGGGGAGGGATAACATGGGGAAAAATTCCAGATATAGGTGACAGGGTGATGGAGGCAGCAAACCACATTGCCATATATGTACCTATGCAACAATCCTGCATGATCTGCACGTGTACCCCAGAACCTAAAGCACAATTTAAAAATGTGTGTGTGTGTGTGTGTGTGTGTGTGTGTGTGTGAAGAATTTCCATGACAACCATAAACATTACCTGGTATTCTGTGGGTATTCCTGATGACCCAGGAATCTCAAGAGAGAAAAAAATAAAACTCTGATCAGGTATATAGTATAACAAGTTAAGAAGAACAACTTACAGAGACCCTAAAAGCAAAAGAAGTAGTGAGAAGACGAAAGCAGAAGACAGTGGGATGAAGGTACCTACTCTTTGTTGTACTTTATCAAATGGAGTTTATAGAGGGCTATCTGCCAAAGAACTCAACAAATCTTTGAGCTTTGGGTCTATATCGAACATAGAGTTCATGTTGTTAGAGACTTTTTCTAACATATTGGCCTTTCCTGGATGGTCCTTGACATGGTTTGGCTGTGTCCCCACCCACATCTCATCTTGAATTGTAGCTCCCATAATTCCCACGTGTTGTTGGAGGGACCCAGTAGAAGATAATTGAATCATGGAGGTGATTCCCCCATACTGTTCTCATGGTGATGAATAAGTCTCAAGAGATCTGATTATTTTATAAGGCATTTCTCCTTTCACTTGGCTTTCATTCTTTCTTGCCTACCACCTTGTAAGGTGTGCCTTTTACCTTCTGCCATGATTGTGATGTCTCGCCAGCCATGTGGAACTATGAATCAGTTAAACCTCTTTTTTATAAACTGCCCATTCTCGGGTATGTCTTTGTCAGCAGTGTGAGAACTGACTAATACGGCCATTTAGTCTCTCCTTGAATACCTACAGGGACAAGTGAGTAATTATTTCAAAGTGTGGCAAATTGTATTGTTGAAAAGTTCTGATTGCTTATGTTAAATAAAGTTGGTTTCTCAGACCCATTCTGCCATTGGTCTTGGATCTTCTCTCTAGAGATATTCAGAAAAACAGCTGTTTCTTCTTATTCATAAGCAGTTTGTTTACTCATTATTCTCATTGTAACAATTTTTTTGTCTTAGAAAACACAAGTAGAAAAATACTAGTAAAACTGCAACCAAATAGAACCCTGTGTTAATATTTTAGTATATATCTTCCAATGTTTATATCTTTACAGAAAAGTTAAGATTATAGCATACATATTGTATAAAACCCACTACATATTTAAATAATAATACATTTTAGTGTGTTATAGCATATACAGTGTCTTCCAAAGCAGTATTTTTCATAGCTGCATCGTCACCTTTTGTATGATTGAACCATATTTTATTTATTCTATTCCTGCTGTTAGGGTTTAGATATTTTCTAATATAAAAGCACTACAATTCATATTTATTAATTCGTGTATGAATAGGTGTTGTCGCTTTGTGCTAACAATTGTACTTGGTACTGTGAAAAAGAGGGTAAAAAAATTTCAAAATGATCCCCGTCCTTAAGGAGCTCATATCCTTGTAGCTTAATTTGTAGTAATTTGATTGCCTTAGGTAATAGGTCATTTTACTTCCCTATAAGGGAAATGGAATAGAAGAGAGAAAATATACATTGTACATTGAAGAAATCTTTGGCTGTATATGAAGAAGTAGCCATCCAGGAGTATACCTTTTTTGTTTGAGAGAAACTGTTTCCTCTCAATGTCCCCAGCACTGAATTTTTATCACTTTGTTAAACCTTCCAAATTTGAGGTTGACTATGAAGAAATCACATTGTTATTTTCATTGGAATTTCTTTAACTTCTAATTATTTACTCTCATTTTTTTGATGGGGGTTGTTAAAACAAGCTGTATTCAGCACACTAGAATATTCATCATAAAATACTCTAAGTTAAAAAAAATGCTTTTATAAGCTAACAGAATTGTGATTGAAGATGGAGAACACGACCTCATTTCATCTTTTACTTGAACTGAGTCAGATTGTTTGCCTGCTTCTTCAAGTGACTGGTTTATTTTTTAGCAAGTGTTACAAGATGTTCAAAAGCTGAGTGCTTTTTTTTAACACCTGATTTCTTCCACTGAAAAGCCTTTGACCCCATGAAAACAGGTTTTAATAGGGTTAATTTAGTTGTTCAAGCTGTCACAGTGATTTCACTCCCAATTATCTTGTGGTGGTGCGTATTTGTCTCAACTTACACATTATTTTAAGTTGCTGTGTCTAATAGCATGTGAAGAGAGTAAGTAACTGTTTAGTTAACAAAGTATCACATGATCTGTTCAACAGCCACCATCGTGAAACAGAAAAGGAGTTGGTCTCAGAGCATGAGAACAGAGAATCTAAAATTCAAGTCCAGGCCTTGGTAATACTGGCAGATTTCCTCTGGGGTTCTCACTGTTGCCGTTCCCCCGGTCTGCAGCCCTTACTGAAATGACATCCCAGAGAAATGGCTAGATCCTACTTCAGAGCACTACACCACAGGTTTGTGACCCTCTAACAGATCACCTGTGCTTGCCTGGTGGCCCATGGGCAATAATAGATGCCTTAAATTAGAAGCAGGACCCAAAGTAAAGACGACCCAGCATTCTACTGTAGAGAAGCATTCTGCTTATTCTCTAAGGAACTAGACAGACTCACTTGCTGGAGGTTTCTTCCTCCATTCTCTAGCCCACTTGCCCTCACCTTCAGCCAACCTCTGTCTTCTTCTTTGAGATGCTTGGGAAACTCCATGCAGTTAAACTAAATATACATGTGGTTCATCTTAGGTGACACTTTTCCAGGAAGCTTCTTCTGGTCCTTTCTAATGTGTATACTGGACCGCTCTTCTGAAGCCCAAAGGCACTAATAATAGCAAACGCTTCTATAGTGTTAATTATGCTAGGCATTCTTCTAAACACTCTCTCTAATTAACTCACTTAATCCTTACAACAATCCTATGAAAAGAGTATTATCTCAGTTTTATAAATGAAAAAATGCAGAAGATACAAATACCTTGACCGGAGTTACACAGTTGATAAGCAGAAGAGCCAGAATTCCAGCCCAGGCATTCCGGCGCAAGCATCCACCGTGCTATAATTTGTACCTCCACTTTGGCAAATATGCACAAACAGAAACTCTGCCCTGAAAAGACAATCCCAGTTCCCTTTTTCTCATGATATGAAAACCAAGCTCGGAGTGATCTGCCTAAAGCTACACTGTCAGTGAGGGGCAGAAGTGGAATTAAAACCAGATGTCCTGCCTCCCCCTTCATTATATTGCTTAAGGAGTACATCTGGTATCATAGTTATTTGTCTGCTTTTCTTAATCACGTCACCGGATGGAAACATCCACAGCATGGCAGAGTGCATTGTTTTATAAATGTTAATCTTTTATATTGCACCTTCTTTATCTGTACTATCATTATTTTAATATTTAATTAAATATAGTTTTTACTGGCCTTGATCTCATCCTATGAAACAATATTGAAACCATGGCTTTGCCATTCTGACTTTATTTTTCTAGCACATGTTAAAATAAGTACTTTTTTTATGTTTGCTTTTGTGCTTCCTAATGTATGGGGCCTTCCACCAGAAGACATAATGCCACAATGATGAAACACTGGTTTAGTTGACAGAGAGAGACACAGATTTAGAGATGGGGTCAAATGCTAGCTCTGTCACTTACTACCTCTGGGCTCATCATTGGAGCTGTGTTCATTGTTCTGGAGATTTTCTGCAGATAAGGGTTAAACTGTCTTTGCCCTGTTTACCTTCATAGCTGGCTGTGAGGGTAGATTGAGAAAGAGATGGTTCTTTATGAACTCTAGAGCACAATCCTCCTCCTTTTGCTCCTCCTCCTTGTAATCCTATGATTCACCTCTGTATTCCCTATAGCATCAGTCTGAGCACCTTGTAGATGACTGACACTTGAGGCGTGCTTATGGGACAAATAGAAATGTTTTCAATGTCTATATTATCTGAGTAGCTACTGGAAGTTCAGAGGAGTAAGAAGAGAGTTAAATCTCACTTGCTATCTTGCATCTGCCCTTTAGAAGGCGTTCCCCTAGTTACTGCATCACAGCTTAACTCTGGCTTTCATCAAAGCTCCTGTATTTTGTCTCCCTTTAGAAATACAATCATTTCTCAGCATTTATTGAATTAATAACTTCATTAAAGAATTGAGAGATTTATAAAATGGTATCAAATACCAATCTATATAGCTTCATGTCATTCATTCATTCATGCTGTCTCTCCCTTTCTCTTTCTCCTTCTCTATCTTCATCCATCCATCCTTTTATTCTGGCCCTGGTATTCTCACCCATGTTTACCCTTGAAAAGTCCAAGTAGTTATTATTTTAGTGTTCCGACTGCAACTATACCAACAACAATAAATAACAGCAGCCCCCTCCTGCCACATCTTTCATTTCTCTGATAATCCTGTAAGACAGACAAGGCAAGGACCACTGTCTCCATCTTACAGGCAAGGAAACAGCCTTTTAGACACCCCAAAGCAGTTATGATATTCTTACAAGAAGTTAAGATTAGAAACTTAGTCTTATTCTGAGCCCAGTGCACTCTTCTTTTCAAGAAGTTCTCAAGTCATCTCTGTGAAGCCACAGTATGTACAGCCATTGAAGCAAGTGAGATCTCTAAGGAAAGAGTTCAGCTGTGTGAGGACATGAGGGATTCCAAAATGGGGCCCTAAGAAATGCCAGTGTTTACAAATCAGCTGTAAGGAAGAGACACCCACAGTGGATTCTGAGATAATGTGGCCAGAAAAGTAGGAGGAAAGCCAAAAAAGAGAGGTATCACAGGAACCAAAAGAAGAGAATGCTTTAAAACTAAAATGGTCTACTGGATTTCATCATTCTGAAAGACTTCCTAGGAGGAAGCCAGAGCAGATTCACTGGATACAGCAACATGAAGATCACTGATGTTCTGGGAAGAACAATTTCATTAGAGCACTTGGGGAGGAACCCATCTAAAGATGAGTTGAAGATTGAATGGGAGATGAATACTTGAGAATATCATGTGCAGACACCATGGGGAGAAGTATAACAGAAAAGCAAGGTGGTAAATGGAGGGACATACTACTTCAGGGAGGATTTTTTAATGTGAAATCAGATTTGCTACAGCAAGTTTGAGTGCAATTGAGGAGATAGGATATGCTGTAGGAATTGATTGAAGGCTTTTAAAATTTATTTTCAGTATCATTTTATTAATCCCCCTCCCCGCTTTCTCTCTCTTTCTCTGTCTTTTGGTTCCTAGTGTCTTATTGCTTTTATGCTGTCTCCTTGAAAGCCTAGCTGCAATCCATAAAAGCCAGCTTACCTACCCTCAGTTCAAACCTTAACCTCTCTCACACCTCACCTTGGTCCCAATTACAGCATCCTTTTTCCCCAAAACCAACTTTCCTCTTTCCAGTCACAAAGGGAGCCTTTTAGTCCAACAAATTTAGAGCAAAATGAGAGCAGTAATTCAATTTATGTCATTTTTCAAAGGATATTAACATTTTTAAAGAGCTAAAATTGGAATACTACTCACTCTGTATAATAATTTTTATTTCTTCTTAGCAGATTATCACAAATTTACCATCTTAAAACAACACCTGTTTATCATCTCACAGTTTCTTTAGATCAGTAGTCTAGCATGGCACAGCTGGTTTCTCTGCTTAGGGTGTCATAGGGCCAAAACGAAGGCAAGGTTCTCATCTGAAGGCTCTGGGAAGGAAAGTGCTCCAAACTCGTTCAGGTAATTGGCAGAATTCAGATCTTGCAGTTGTAGAACTGAGGTCCTCATTTTCTTGCTGGCTGTCACCCAATGGCTATTCTGAACTTCTGAAGGCCACAGGCATTCCTTGGCACATTGTTTCTACTCTCTCTAAACACAGGGATGGCATGTCACATTGCCTCACTCTTTAAATCTCTGAATTCTTTTACTGCTAAGAGAGGAAAAGCATCTTTTAGAGGCCTGGACTGATTAGCTCAAGCCTATTCATGTACTTTCCATATCTTATGAGAGATACATGATTGGCTTAAATCCCTTCTCAGAAATACCTGGATTAGTGTTTGGTTAAACAACCAGAGGATGGGAATCTGGGGAGTCATTTGCTATATCCTGAAACTAAAGAATCTCCTGAATTCTTCAGGGAGTCTCTCCACCATACCTACAGCCACCTGGGATAGACACTGCTCTGTCCACAGCTCCCAAGCAGCCATGTTTTTACCATGTGACATCAGAGCCATCCCCTACTACAGCTTATTGGACTAAGTGTGGGTCTGTGACCCATGGAGCATACTCAGCCTCTTATAAGTTTGAGTTCTTAGGCCTAGTCCTTCAAAAAACCCGTTTGTAGGTGCTGCCCATCAGTTAGGTAAAATAAGTTAGTGTTTCGCCCTCTTTTGGAAGCCGGTTTGGGCAGGTGTTCATTGCTTGCAACCCAGGGACAACTAGATGATAGGTTGATGGGTGCAGCAAAACCACCATGACACATGTACACCTATCCAAAAAACCCTACACATTCTGCGCATGTATTCCAGAAGTTAAATACAAAAAGAGCGGGTAATGGATGGATCTGAAAACTGTTACTGGATTCACATTATTGGAGACTGTCATCTGTGTGACATACCAATAGAGCTACAGGGCTAAACAGATAAATCAGGTAAAGGGACAGTCAAAGATGATCCTGATTAAAACCCCTGTTACGCCAGAGTGACTTTGTATTTATCCAAGATGTGTCTTCTGAGAAGAGAAATCAGGGAGGTATATATTCTTCACTCCATAACCCAGCCAGATTAATAAACAAAAACTAGAGACCAACAGAAAGGCCTGGGGGTGAATAAAGAAATTAGAATCCATGTATGCCAAATTATATTATCTAAACGTAAATTTTCAATAAAACATGTCAAAAAAGAGAGAGAGAGAGAGACTAAGGCATTGTTAGTGACACCTCAGATCCAACCACTCATTCATTTATTTGTTTCAAGAACCTTCAGCATCTTTTGTGCCCAAGGCATCATCCTAAGTAAACATTAAGAAAGAAAAGAAAAGCATATCTTTCTTTCTGGAGGAAAGATATCACCCTGAAGTTGCAGGGAATCATTGTGTTTTGGAGAGTGAGGAAGACAGATCGAAATGATAGCCAGGTAATGTCCTTCCTGTGTCTTCCTGTGTCTGTTCCTACTGTCACATTTGGCTCAACCACATGACTGGCCTGGACCTATAGGTTGCTAGCCAACTTGACAGAAGCAGAGGCCTGGGAAAGGAGCAGCACATTTTTTGTTTCTCTGCAGCCACAAGAGGAAAAGCCCAGGCAGTCTGGGAAGGACGAGAGACAGCATGAGGTAGAGCTAAGCCCTAGATGGACCCACCAGCCCCCAACCAACCTGACAGCTGCATACAGACACACGAGCAAGCCCCATGCAGAGCAGTGAACTATCCACCCAACCCATATATTTGCAAAAAATAATAGATATTTACTGGTTTCAGGCACTAGGTTTTGGGGTGTTGTGTTACACATCAATAGATAAGTGATACCAAAGTAACTTCAGAACTATGGGCTGAATATTTTTTAATTAGGCCAGATTATTTTCCAGTTTGGAGAGAAGGAAACATAAGTTGCCTGAGATGTATGGCTTTATTCGTTTGAGAGAATTCAAGGGTAAAGGGGCCTCAACCGCTTCAAGTGCCATCCAGCTCTCCCTCTGTTCAGATTTTAACAAACTTGCCAGGCTTCTCTGGCATCAGCATCAGGTCGTTTAATTAAGTAATAGAAAGGTAATTAAGATAGAAATATGATCATGTGGGTTAGTCTTGTGCACCCACAGAGGAAGAAAAGCAGAATGTGCCAGCTGCAAACATCTGCAATGAAAGAAGTCTGGGACAAAAAGCAGTTTCTGCTCCTACCTCCTCCTGTTCTTTCAGAAAACATCAGTCTTATAGGGCAGTAAATCAGTGGTGAGTCACTAGCTATATAATATGTGCTGCTTGTCTCATGAGACATTAAACCGAGGTCCCTTCTGCTCACATCCTGCACCTGTCACCAAATGTCCAATAAAAATCGTGTTCTCTGGGGGCATGTTAGGAAAAAGCAGGGTGAAGATTTGCCCAAGCCTTCCTCACCAGTCCAGTAGAGCCCCCAGGCAAGGTACTCCCTGTGGTCTGCCCCAAGGCTGAGTCAGCAGAGGCCCTCATGGGCAA